ATGTGTACATTGTAATTTATCACAGTATATACATGCGTTCATCCTAATATGGTGCAGTGTAGTCTTGTGTACATTAGTTGACGATGTTCACTTAAGTCTGCAGAGTGTTTGTACATAGGATGTACTAAAGTGTACTGACATATAAAATATACTCATATCATAGTGTTTTGGGGATGTAGTGATAGCGTTCTGGGGGTGTAGTGATATTTAATAGTGTGCACTAGAAATACACTTTACAATTCAGTCAAGCACAATCAAGTGCATTCCAAGCTAGTTAGTTGCACCTCATCGTAATCAAATTATACCAACTAGATTTCTTCTTTCTGCTTTAGAGCCACATTCTTTTAGAAAAACAATGGCTGAATTAAAGTATTTCTGCACTTCCGAATGATTTGATTGTGTTTTTTAGCTTTTCGTTGAATGAACTTCACAATGTGACGTTAGAACAGCTAAGGGAGATAACTTCAAACGTGACTGGATTATTTTCTGTAATTCTAGGAACAACAGGGGAGATAACTGGCCTACGCATTGTGCTGGCGATGTGTGTGTGTGTATGTATGTGTGTGTGTGTGTGTGTGTGGTGTAGCTGATGAATAAAATATCTGATCTTTGATAAGTTAATTGGCAATTTATGTTGCTGATGTAATTATTTGAGTGAATTGAATTTGCGGTCAGCATTTGTAAAAAGTGGTGTCGTATTGTGGGGTACAGGAGCTAATTGTGGGGTCTAGGAGCTAATTGTGGGTTCTAGGAGCTAATTGTGGGGTCTAGGAGCTAATTGTGGGTTCTAGGAGCTAATTGTGGGGTCTAGGAGCTAAATGTGGGATCTAGGATCTGATCTAGGAGCTAATTGTGGGATCCAGGAACTAACTATGGGGTCTAGGAGCTAATTGTGGGGTCTAGGAGCTAATTGTGGGGTCTATTGTGGGAGGTAGTGGTTTATTCGCTTGCTTTAAACCTCTTGTCCTCCTGTCAATACAATTAAACAATATTCTACTTTGTATAATATTGTTGAATATTGATCTATTTCTTTTATTTGCTGTAGTGCTATTTATAAAAACGGACGAGAATTTCTGACTGTGTAATGTGGTCTAACCCCCGCCCCCCCCCCCCCCCCAACCCACACACCGGCCCACACGTTCAAGATATAAAATGTCTAGAGAATCTCCAAGTTGCAACAAGTCTTAAATTACATGCACATCGAATTCGATATTTCTGTAGCAGGCACGTGAAGCGTCAAAAATAAAACATCCCATCATTTTAATGAGTGCAAATATTTTTTTTTATAAAACTTCCTAATTTAACATCTAAAACCTGACCCTTCTACCGCTTGAGACAGTAGTTCTTGACGTTTTAAGAGGTATCGAACCCTTGCTGTTTCATACGAACATTCACCGAACCCTTCTTTATAGTTCTATCGTTCACACTGTCAAAAATCTGATACTGAATCGAATGAGTCTGGTGTGTGTCTTGACTCCGCCGAACCCCTGGGGTTCGATCGAACCCAGGCTAAGAACCACTTGATTAGGGGAAATGTAATCACACACATTAGCACGTCATGATTATACCGTTGCCCCTCGGTAGAAATATTACAGTCATATTAAAATGTGTACAATTGGTGGTGGAAGTTTTTCTGCTAGCTTTGGTCTGGTATATCCGGTCTGCACGTCAAGACACCTTTACCTCCCTACCTACCACTTCTCAACCTCCCTCCCTACCTACCACTTCCCAACCTCCCTCCCTATCTACCACTATCTCTTCCCCACTACATCACACCCCCTCCCTACCACCCTCAATACCTTTCTCAATACCTCCCTCGCACCTCCCTAAAATGTCAAAAGATCTCTACCTCCCTCCCTCCCTACCTACTCCTCTACCTCCCTCCCTCCTTACCTCTCCTTACCTCTCCTTACCTCCCAACCTACCTTACTCCCCATACTCACCCAATAGAGCCCTAGGGAAGGCTTGATTTTCCTATAGCAATAGCCAATAGGAAATCGATAACCAGAATTTCAGTTCTTATGAGGGCGGGAATAGGGTTAGGGAATGTCCCCTATTGTACCGGTATGTCCATTAATGAACCGGTATGTCCACTATCTTATTGGGATGTCCAGTGTACACCAACATCCACGGCTGTACTGGAAAAGTATTAAAATGTTTTGAAGATGTTCTTCAACAAAGCATTATGTACTTTCTATTAGGACATATGCAAATGGAGCCGAGTGGTCTAGATGTAGAGCTTACAAAGATTCCAACACTGTGGATCGCGACAATGCTACTGGGAAATATGTTGAGGACTCTGGTCAATTAAAACACAAAGTGGTCGCTAAACAGCCACTCAGTGCTCAGCTGAAGATTTCAACTCAACCCGGGGTTAGAGGTCAGGTTTTTTTACCCCTCGTCCGACGGCCAAAACATTCCTTAGCCATTTTGGCAAGTGAAATAGACACGGCAATCAAGCCGTCATCTGGCCACCAAGTGGGTCTTGCTCGTGGCGGGGAAAGTGCTTTTGCTTGCATCTGTGGAGTGATGGCTGGGGGGGGGGGGGGGGGGGCGGGTAGGACTGGTGGGCGGGGTGAGGGCTGGGGTGAAATGAAAATATATTTGGCTTTAACTGGGGTACAAGCGGCCAGGGAGGACTTGTGCGCAGCGCGTGATTTCATCAGCTGGAGCCAAACAAAGTTAGCCGGCTAAGTCTAGCGTGGACCGTCCGGCTAATGAGAGTGGACCTCTGTCACGTCCGCGCTTATTGTCGCTGGCCGGTTGTCCGGCATGTCGTATTTGACCTGTGGATGTCGTGTGTTTGTGTGGTGTTTGTGTGGTGTTTGTGTGTGTGTGTGTGTAAGCGGTAGGGGGGGGGGGCGTGATGAATGCGACATCTTGGATGTAAGCACGCGATGTCTTCTAAGTATTGACCACGACTTAATCGTGCCCAGATTTATTTAGCAAACAAACACATCAAACAAATCATTAAACAACAACAATCATCCAGATCGATAAATCAATTGTTTATTGATTCTAAAGTTTTTAAATCCATCCTAGAATTCCAAGGCCGCCATGTTGCGAACGTTGAAACAAAAGCCGCCGTTTCAACTCAGATCTCGTTCGATGAGACTTGCTTATCAACGATTGGCTCGCCGCATCAACCAATCAATGCAACGTTGCCATAAACAAAGGAGCTCCTTGGTAATCTTCTGTTTTGAAAAACATTTTTAATTGGGCAAAAAAATCTGTAAAACCAACAAACGCGGCGTTGTTTTATTGGTCTCCGTGATTTGTTTGGAAAAGATTCAATATGGCGACGGCTTAAGAGGGTTTGTCTAGCGATGGACAGACTAACCAAGGGCGATAATCCATCACGTGCTGTAAACATAATTTCATTGACACCTTTACCGTGAGAAGATTTTAACCAGCCTCCATTAACCAATTTGCTTCTTAATTAAACACCATTAACTCATTTAAATCCGTGTTTATTTTGTCTAATTACTTAACAGCTTTTTACTTTTTATAATCGATTTATTTATTTTAATTTTAAAAACTATCTTGAAAACATAATTATTTCCCATAGTTCAATCATTCGGTCTTGCTTTAGATGATAACACTACTTACAAGGCGAGTTAGCTTCAGATCTCTCACTCGATGTTTCTAGAACAAACGCATTTGTCGTCAAATATTGAAGGGCTCAGATTGCACAGGATTCATGTAGTCATAAAAGGGTCAAACATTAGGACACTGTGACGTCTTTACATCATCATTAACAGAGCTGGTCACGCGGACAATATTAACCAAGTCATACACATTATTCAATTTGTTCTTGTAAGATTTACTCGAATCATATCTGTTTTTAACGTGGTCCAATGTTTTTCGTTATCAATCCAATATTATTCCTTTATCATTATTCCAACGTTATTCGTTTATAACTGCTCCAATGTTATTCCATTATCATTGTTCCAATGTTCTTTGTTCATTATTGCTCCACTGTTAATCCATTACCATTGCTCCAATGTTAATCCATTACCATTGCTCCAATGTTATTCCATTATCATTGCTCAAATGTTCTTCGTTTATTATTGCTCCAATGTTAATCCATTACCATTGCTCCAATGTTAATCCATTACCATTGCTCCAATGTTATTCCATTATCATTGCTCAAATGTTCTTCGTTTATTATTGCTCCAATGTTAATCCATTACCATTGCTCCAATGTTATTCCATTACCATTGCTCCAATGTTATTCCTTTATAACTGCTCCAATGTAATTCCTACAAGATTTACTCTAATGTTTTCTTACCTCCCCAGGTAAAGCCCGGCCCCAGCTGAGTACGGCACCGCATGTGACGTCACTCTGGCACGTCATCAGGGACATGGGCGGCCTGTGTCCTGAGCTTTAATTCAGCCAATTTTAAATTCAATTATGGAGCCCACAAAACCATTGGGTTATTTATTCCTAACATAAAAACTAAGAAGGGCAATTACCCTGGAACAAGCAAGCTAATTCAATGGATGTAAAACGTCAATAATAATTCAACCGCTGGGTTTCAATAGTGGAGTTTTTCGAAAGGCCACGTTTGGATGAAAGTAGAAATTGGTTTTTGGATATGAAAATAACAAAATGGACATCACATTTCTGATCACGGATACTTGAATGAATCCAAGAGTTTGATGTTGTTCTACTTTGTAATTCATCTAAAAAATAAATGTGTTATTCACTCCCCTTTGTCTACCAGCGTGAGCTCCCTTTGTCCATCAAAGTGATCTCCCCTTTGTTTAGCGAGCTCATCTAAGATTGTTATCGTCCCTGTGTCTATCGGCCGATCTCCTGGCTGTGGTTCCATGGTGCTGGCCATGGGTCTGCTTAACCAGACCTGACGCGGCACGTGCATGTCGGGGTGAGCTTCTGCTCGCCACGTGTGAATAAATCAACCATCTTGTCAGACAGTTCCCACCTGAGGGGGTGTCGACCACTTGACGTCGTTAGCCACGCTACAGTCAAGCGGCCATTGGCGCCCACAATTGGATTAGAATTTACATGCCCGACCTGTGTGTCCCTTGGACTGCGGTCACCAATGGGTTAACCCTGGACACATGTGTAAGATGTGTTATCAGAGGTCACTGACCTGTATTGACCTTTCTGCCTTGTTTATCATTGGTGAGTACCTTATTGCATTTGTTTTCATATTCCCGTATATCTTGACTTAACTATAACGTGTATTTAATATATTAAAGAGAGATTTTACTTAAGTCCATCAATGGATTCGATTAATGAATGAGGCTTTGTATTGATTGTAATCAAGTAATTTAAAATAGTAAATTTAGGATTAAAGCGGGGAGTTGGTATTGGATTTAGGATAGTGTTAACGTTAATAATTACTTAAACCTAGTTGGTAAGAAACAAACTCTAGTAAACATTTTTACCGGAGAGTCCGTAGTCAAATAGTGATGTAAAGGACACACAATACGACACAAAAACCTACAGTACCTCTGCTTCTTCGTCTTCCTCTTCGTTCTCTTCTCTGTATGTTGGACGTGATTTACTCAATCACATGTATTACGTGTCAACATGCAATGCGCCATATAGGCCGTGGACTCCAATGTCAGCCTGCTGTTCTTCCATAGCCTTGGTTCACCCAGGAACAAACTACAGACAGCTGTTGTTTAGAGTTGTCTCCCCTAGATGGGCTTGTGACTGGCTTCACCGACCCGATGACTCGAGTATCTCTGACTTGCTGTGTAAACTACGTCAAGTTGCATGGCATAAGGAGTGTGAACTCAATGTTGTGACAAGTTTAACACGTGCGAGACATAACATTGTGACAAAAAACACGACTGGCATACAGTTGTGACAAGTTAAGCATATGCCAATCATGACAAACATAATATGATGACACCATAACGTTTGCAACACACAGACAATTCTAAACATTCTCGTTAGGGTGGTAGAAGGTAGGGACTGTTTATAGAACTTTAGGTTTAGTTAAAATCTACGGTTAAGTTGGAGAAGGATAGGTTTATTTGAGAGCTGTGTGAATGTCATTCTCCAAACATCAAGACCTATATCCCAGGATATCCCTATAGCCCAGTATATCCCTATAGCCCAGTATATCCCTATAGCCCAGAAAATCCCTATAGCCCAGAAAATCCCTATAGCACAAGATATCCCTATAGCCCAGTATATCCCTATAGCCCAGAAAATCCCTATAGCCCAGAAAATCCCTATAGCACAAGATATCCCTATAGCCCAGAATATCCCTATAGCCCAAAATATCCCTATAGCACAGGATATCCCTATTGCCCAGAATATCCCTATAGCACAGGATATCCCTATAGCCCAGTATATCCCTATAGCCCAGAATATCCCTATAGCACAGGATATCCCTATAGCCCAGTATATCCCTATATCCCAGAATATCCCAGCCAGGGGCGACACAGGCCCGACACCCAGGGGCAGCGGGCCAGTAAATCCCGACAGATTGTGGAACTAATGAGGTCATGTACCTCACGGTTCCTGCCCTGCAGCAGACGAGAGGCCATTACATCTTCTCGTCTGGTCTTCAAGTGTGCAGCGGTGCGGGGGAGGGGGGGGGGGGGGCGTTATTACGTAAACAACGAATTACAGTCTAGCAGAGACAAAACATGTCTCTGTCAACATGTGTTTGGTCAGATATTTAGTCAGATATTTAGTCAGATATTTAGTCAGATATTTAGTCAGATATTTAGTCAGATATTTAGTCAGATATTTAGTCAGATATTTAGTCAGATATTTAGTCAGATATTTAGTCAGATATTTAGTCAGATATTTAGTCAGATATTTAGTCAGATATTTAGTCAGATATTTAGTCAGATATTTAGTCAGATATTTAGTCAGATATTTAGTCAGATATTTAGTCAGATATTTAGTCAGATATTTAGTCAGATATTTAGTCAGATATTTAGTCAGATATTTAGTCAGATATTTAGACCTTGAGCCATTCAATATGTAGTCATGTGACCGTATGTACCGATGATGCAAGTCATCAAGATTTAGATATCGAGACTATCATATTGCTGACTTTTCCCAACAACATCCGACTTTCGTTTAGCGCATCTCTTGTTATTTTGATATCTTTGATACGCTGCTTAAAGATATTCCCGAAATTTGACATACTCGACCTTTTTTTTTACCCTCACTGTATGTCTGTAAACAGACTGTCCCCCACACCAAACTAAAGGGAAGCCGTGTATACCTACATCTGCCCATAACAAACTGACCCAGGTAACTCAATTAGCCAGGTATTTCTTCCACCTGCCAATTAGTTCAACTCGCTTTACACAGACTCCTGATACACGATATCACATACACCAGATGGGACTTCATCCCACCTTGTATTCAGTACTTTATGTCATGTATTCAGTACAACCCTTCATGTACGTAGTACATCTTGTATTCAGTGCATTATATCATATATTCAGTACACGTCATCATGTATTCTGTCTATCATATCATGTATTCAGTACATTCCATCATGTACTGAATACATTCAAACTGTCCGAACATCCTGGCCTTACGCGTGACGTCACCACCAGGTTTTCCCAACTATCCACTTTAAATGACTCATCACGTGACTGCCTCCGCCAATCAATAAATTAGGATTTACTGAAAACGTATCGCCGTTGAAATGAATGAATAAGCCTCTTGTAAGCACTGAACTTTTAAAGGAAGTTTTATCGGTGTTTTAATCTCATCTTTAAGTAGAAGAGTACAAAGTGTTTTCTGAGGTTTAAAAATAAAACATGGTAAAATGAAAAAAAATGGACGTACATATATGTGGAATCTATGTGACTGAAAATGCAGTGGTCCAGACATTATGATCGCTCCATTATTTTGTTGAATAACGCATCTCTTATCCATCGAAACTTTCTACTTGTCTACCTATTTGCTAATTCGTCCTTTAATCCACGCACTAATCCACGCACTAATCCACCCGTCCACTTACGAATCATCCTCTTTATCCACCCGACTACTTTTTAATCCACCAACCGATCCACCCAACGGTCCAACTTCATGTCAATTGAGATTTTAAACTAATGTCATCGTCATCGTCACCACAAATGTCATCCACCAATCAGCAGTAATGTCATCGTCACCACAAATGTCATCCACCAATCAGCAGTAATGTCATCGTCACCACAAATGTCATCCACCAATCAGCAGTAATGTCATCGTCACCACAAATGTCATCCACCAACCAGTGCTAATGTCATCATCACCACAAATGTCATCCACCAATCAGCACTAATGTCATCGTCACCACAAATGTCATCCACCAACCAGTGCTAATGTCATCATCACCACAAATGTCATCCACCAATCAGCACTAATGTCATCGTCACCACAAATGTCATCCACCAACCAGTGCTAATGTCATCATCACCACAAATGTCATCCACCAATCAGCACTAATGTCATCGTCACCACAAATGTCATCCACCAACCAGTGCTAATGTCATCATCACCACAAATGTCATCCACCAATCAGCAGTAATGTCATCGTCACCACAAATGTCATCCACCAACCAGTGCTAATGTCATCATCACCACAAATGTCATCCACCAATCAGCACTAATGTCATCGTCACCACAAATGTCATCCACCAACCAGTGCTAATGTCATCATCACCACAAATGTCATCCACCAATCAGCACTAATGTCATCGTCACCACAAATGTCATCCACCAACCAGTGCTAATGTCATCATCACCACAAATGTCATCCACCAATCAGCACTAATGTCATCGTCACCACAAATGACCCGCCAACCATCATTTCTACAATCTCATGCCGCAATATGAAGGTCATCTCTCGATTATTGTGTTTGTTGTAGAATGATATTATGGTAGCGACTTTTATCTGACATCTGTATAACACTAAATGACACTTGTGTGGCATCTGTTTATATACGATTTTTATGTCATGTATGTGTGTGATGTGACTTGTACGTGACGCTTATGTAAACTATCTATGAATGAACCCAGCGTAATGACATACGTGCTATATATGAGCTGTGCACTTTCTGCGGAGTACGCAGAGAGAAACTCGGTACAATTGAAGCCCCTTAAGCCTAGCTTTTCCTGCATTAAACGGGGTCAGTGATTGGCTCAGTGATTGCCTCAGCTTATTTCTGTACCCTGCAGCATACAATCGCCTACATGGAGAGATTTCCCCTGGGGTCAGTGGGCGCGTAACTCGAAGCGACATCTCGACGTAATATTGCATCTTACACACGAGTTCTGTCCCTTACCATTTTTTTAATGTCCCTTGAACATTTGAAACGTGTAGTGGATTTAAAAATATTCCGTCAGCACTGTTGGAAATCAATAAAAAAAACTAGGAGGCCACCACACAATTCCAGGCCACGACATAAACTTCTTTTCAAGACGTAAATTCGATGCTGTGATTCCAGAATCTTAAATTTTTTTAACTCGAGTTAAATTGATTTTAGAATTTCAACTTGAACAGTGTTTTTCTGATTAAAAAAAGAATTTAAGTTCTTCTGGAATTTTAACCGAGTTTAATTGATTTTAGAATGTTATTCCAGCTAAATTTAGAGCACCTTTTTGACCTTTTTGACCTTTTTGACCTGGGTGCCCAAATCGGATTATCACGGGCTTGCCGGTATCAATGAGATCAACTCTGGCAGTTTTGGTGTTCAGCATCAAGTCAACCCACTCCCTAACGCATGCCGGGTACCCGTATTGGCTGGGTGGACTCGAGCTCAGGGGAAATGACGTTTAACTCAACTTCTCTACCGTTTTCATCCCGTAATTTAAATCGTAACCGACTAATTGGTTTAGAATGTCACGTGCAGAGAGCTAGACGGTGTGTGGCCCCTACATGTAAGCTGTAGCTTGATCTATACGTACATCTGTAGTGTAGGCTACTAGTGGTCTGATTCATAATCCGTTCGCTTCACTGCATGGTTCATTCAAACATGACAACAAGTATGACCAAAATTAATATAGTCATTGTGTCATTTTGACCAGTGGCGTAGCCAGGATCGTCTCAAGGGGGGTTCCAATTTTTACCCGGGGACAAACTTTCGATTTGCACCTCCCCCCTCCTCAAACTTTCGATTTGCACCCCCCGCCCCTCAAACTTTCGATTTGCACCCCCCTCATACTTTATATATATATACCGAGGGGGTCTATGGGGGGGTTATGACCCCCCCCCTAGCCCCCCTGCCTACGCCACTGATTTTGACAGCCTTGCTTGACATTGTTTAAAGGGTACAACAAATCTTTTGAAAAGAATTTACCGAAACGGATCTTGTATGTTGGATGTTTTACACCATTACAGTCAGGAAAATATCAGTTTTACAGTAACAGTTTAAACCGGAAGTTGGGCAACTCAATTGGACGTGTTTGATCTGCGTGACTAAGATCACCCCACGATCCTGACAGACGACAAATGACGTCACTCAAGTCAAAGCCAATACAATTTCTGAACTTTAAAATAACATTAGCCGCAGTGTGTTTGCCATGAAACGTTTTTCGTGTTACCCTGGTAGCGGAGACTTTGACGCCATCCCCAGTCTTCGGTCTCAGCTACAGTTGAATGTAGCGATGTTGTGGTTCTACGTTTGGGGTGGGTGTGTGCCGGGTAGGGGTGGTGGTTGGGGGTGGGGTAGTGGTGGTAGGGGTAGTGGTAGAGGTGGGGGTAGGGGTGGTGGTAGAGGTGGTGGTAGAGGTGGGGGTAGGGGTGGTGGTGGTGGTAGGGGTGGTGGTAGAGGTGGGGGTAGGGGTGGTGGTAGAGGTGGTGGTAAGGGCGGGGGTAGGGGTCGTGGTAGTGGTCGTGGTGGGAGTGGGGGTAGGGATGGTGGTAGGGTTGGGGGTATGGGTGGTGGTAGAGGTGGTGGTAGGGGCGGGGGTAGGGGTGATGGTAGGAGTAATGGTTGGGGTGATGATAGGAGTGATGATAGGGGTGATGGTAGGGGTGGTGGTAGAAGTGGTGGTAGAGGTTGTGGTATTGGTCGTGGTAGAAGTGGGGGTAGGGGGGTCGTAGTGGGGGTGGCGATAGGGGCGGGGCTACACGGAAGATCCAATTAGAAAGGATGTTGAGTCTTAGTTACGTCGTGTTGGTGGGGAAGAAGGAAAGTCAATTTTTGGACCTGTCATTTACAGTGTGTGGGTGGGGGGGGGGGGGGGGGGGAGATTTTCTTGAAATGTTCACTTTAACAATTTTTTTTTTCCTGTGCTGTAAAAATTACTGTCAAGCTACTGGTGAAGTTATTTTTAACTCAGCGCCGCCAACGTCGGACATTTGAGTCTTGCAAAACTAGAAAATCCTTTTCAGTTTCTATAAGCATTAAGGACATAATGTCCGTGTCTATAGGTTTCTGCTCACGTCGTAGAGTTAAAACTCTGTTTTAACCCACGTGTCATGCAGCCATGTCTATCAAACTTAACAGATACATGTTTTTTTTTTTTTTTTTTTTTTTTTGGAAAAACCCTAGAATATTAAATTTTCAATCTAATTAGATTTGAAATTAGTCATTTAAAATTAATTTAAACATCAACATCGACAATAGATCAATAGAAAAGGGAGATAACAAATAAATATGTAGCAATATTCGATCAATCTTGTGATCTGTATTGACGGATATATTCACGCCTGTATAACTAGCAATGTCATGTCATGTGTTAGATGTCATCTGGAAGGTGTGTACAACACACTGTACTGTAACACTCCATTCAAACATGTAGGCTAGATAAAGAACCTCATTCCTAGATGAATTCTTTTAACCTTGATTTCCACCCCAGACCTATCCTCCTCCCCCCCCCCCCCCCCCCCCCCACATTCAAACCAGATCCTAATGAACCAGTAAAATATTTCTCCGGGAATGTTGATCTTCTTGCATAATTATGTCGTCATTGACTTGTGGGTCTAACAGCATCCCTGGGGGTGCGGCTAGGGTAGTGGTCAGACACGAGACGGTAATGAATAGTCTGTTTACATCTGTCTGGTGCTGAACTAACACTGTCTTTCATCTCCCATGTTGTCTGATATACATACTAGTTGCATACCCGTGCTTTGCCACGGTGAATCTTAAATAAATATACCAACTTGAGAACAGAACAAACACGCAAACACAAACACAACGCAAACGCAACACGCAAACACAAACTAAAAAACAAAAGCATACACAAATACAATCTCAAAAGAAAACACAAACGCAAACAAACGCAAACACGAACTCAAACAAAACGCAAACTCAGACACAAAAGAAAACATGTTTCTATCTGTCGACACCCGTGACAAGCGGCCAATGAAACGTGTCCACACAGGTCACGCTCTGGTGGCTACAGGTTTATGTACACGGTTGCCAGGGCAACACAAGATACAACAGGACGAGATCGCGCACAGAGACGAGATTCACGTCCCCATTCATCAACTCTCGGCATCGTTTTGCAGCTATAAATAACCAGCCGGCGGTCAATGGGACAGGGAGAAATAAACACGAAATGTCAAACAAGACAAAAACGTCTACCTGGCAATACATCCATGTTTTCTACTCCAATATGCCATCCTGCCATGGAGTTGATTGTACATGTCAAATGTTTCTAGAATTTATCGTCTCTGTACGAGGGTGGGGGTGTGGGTGGGAGGGGGGGGGGGGCTGTTTGTTAGCAGTGCATGAAACACGGCTGTGCAACTCTTTCAATGCTGAGCTGCCGCTTGCAACTTTTAAATCAGATCCATACCTTTCCTGAACAATCTGTCTCTCTCTTTTTTCCTCTCTCTATCTCTATCTCTTTCTCTCTCTCTCCCCCTCTGTATGTTTGTCTGTCAGTCTCTCTCAGTGGGATCGAGTGGTCTAACGGTGGAGAGCTGGACTGCTAACCAGTAAGTCTCGAGTTCGAATCCGGGTTCAAGTCAGTAGACTGCCCCTGAGTCCACCCAACTCTGATGGGTGCCTAACTCACGTTAAGGAAAGTAAAGGCGGCTGGGCATAGTGCTGACCACACTATCTCTTCATATGCCGAGGTCACAGAAACAAGTGAACTCTACTTGTCCTATAGACCGTCAGGTTTGAAAGGGGGACTTTACATACCTTTCATGAACAATCTCTGTATCTCTCTCTTTTCCTCCCTCTATCTATTTCTCTCTTTCTCTCTCCCTCTGTCTGTCTTTCAGTCTCTCTTTTCTCTCTCTCTCTCTCCCTCCTCCTCTCTCTCCCTCTATCTCTTTCTCACTCTCTCCCTCTGTCTGTCTGTATGTCTCTCTGTCTGTCTGTCTCTGTATGTGAACTCGATAACGTGGGTACCGTTTCACATTGTCAGCTGCTTTCTGTCGACCTCTGGGCGATTTCCGATAAGCGGAATTTATTTTTTATACATTCTGCTTTGTTGTGAGCATAAAACTTGAATACCGTTTTAGTTAGGTGAACGAGATTTAGTAATTAGCAGACGTACGTACATTTCTGCCAACATTTGGGCTATATCTGCTAATCTAAAGGGGTACTCGATTTCTCGAAATCTTTTATAATATTATAAATGTATATCATATTCTCACAAATGACTATTATGAGAACTTCTACCTATATTTAAAAAAAAACGATATTTTTTCAAAATTATATAGATCTATATATTGCCTGATTTCACCGTGGCGTCCCGTCGTTATCTTAAAGATTATACAAGAAAGTTTAAGGGAGGTAACTCACGCTATTTAAAATCATAACTTTTTAACTGGAGCACTGTAGAAAATACAGCGCAAATTTTCTGGAATACAATTTTACAATCCAACAACCTTGTGGATTCAAAACTAGTAGGTACGGCTTCTTGTTGCAGTACACACTGCAATCGAAAACGGCAAGACTTCAAAAGAAATATAAAAAGTCCACCGCATAATAATAAAATGCAAGTAAATAAACTTATATATATTTGTAATATTAAGAATAAATATAATAGTGTATTGCATTATAGCTTAATATTTTTGACAAACTGAAATATTAAAAATATATTTTTGTTTTCTATTGATTACTTGTTTTAGCTACTTGTCGATAAAAAAAAGACAAGGGCAAGGGAAGCAATCTGTAAATGTTAGCAAAAGTCGTTAACAATACAGAGATATCAAATAGTCTCAAAACAAAAATATTCATAGTTATTTATTCTAAAAGAAATATATAGTTTTATTTAAAATTTTGTGACCAAAATTTAAATTTTGCCATTTTTTTATTTTTGTTAAACAGTATTTTAAGTGGAAAAGTATTACCTGTTGTAAACAGTTGATTTTTAGACTAGTGAGTGTTCATATCATTAAGTGCTATCAAATACATAACACAATGTAGTAAAATTTCTATAGTGATTAAATCATAACTTTGCTGGCTCTACTCTGAAATATGAGTTAAAATTGTGTGTAAATCAATCTGACTTCACACATGTAGTAGAAACACTACACAATAAAATTAAACAAAATCTGATGGACTATTATCAACATTCATTTTTGGAATCAATAATTTGCGGTGACAGAATTATGATACCTACATTCTATGAAAGAACGGCGCACCTATAAGCAAGTCCATATAAACACCTGAACAACATTTAACGTTGCTGTTCATGTGTGTCTAATGTTAGGTCTGTTAGTAAAAAGTGAATATCCTCTTCTCGAAGTTTTCTTCTTTCCATCAACTAAACTATACGATGTTCTGTCTCTTCTGCAGGGTGCCTATCTGTGATGTATCCTTCATTTTGTCAGTCAACTAACGGTAAGTCAAGTAGCTAAAACACACATTTCAGTCAAATAACTGTAAGTCAAGTAGCTAAAACAAACTTTTCAGTCAAATAACTGTAAGTCAAGTAGCTAAAACAAACTTTTCAGTCAAATAACTGTAAGTCAAGTAGCTAAATCAAACATTTCAGTCAAATAACTGTTAGTCAAGCCGTCTAGCTAAAACAAAGTTTTCAGTCAAATAACTGTAAGTCAAGTCGTCTAGCTAAAGCAAACATTTCTGTCAAATAACTAAGTAAAGCTAAAACGGGAGTTCTACGCCCCCCCCCCCCTTTACGTACTGCTTTCACGAAATGAAACAACCCTCACCCCCAACCCTCACCCCCAACCCTCACCCCAACCCTCACCCACATAGCACAGCCTACATATTGGTTTGATGACGTCTTCTATTATTCGCGAGCCAATCGCGAAAGCAGATAATCCCGATCTCCCAAGCCATTGGCTTATATTTACCGGAAGCGTGCCAAAACCAAAGGCACGTGGGGCTATAAAAGTACACATGTTTTTACAAAACGAAATCATTGAATGGACCTTGGGTGGACGGACGGGCGAGGATTGGACAGTATTCCTGCTGAGGAAGATCGAATCGTGATCAAAGTTTTATCTTGAAAAAGTAGACCTAGACGAAGCAGGCTAATTATTTCTATACTTGTACCCGTCACACTTTTCCCTGACTTATTTTCCTCAAGTTTCCAATCACAGAAGTGATAGAAGGAAAACAATAGTACGTGGTTAATTTGTTATTTTATGCTTTACCATCGCTCCTAGCAAGTAACGTTGGCTTCATACATCAGACATCATAGGGTTAATGGAGATTCGTTTTCAGGCTGTCAGACAACATAGGGTTAATTTAGATTTGTATTCAGTCTGTCAGACAACATAGGGTTAACTTTGTATTCAGTTCGTCAGACAACGTAGGGTTAATTTTGTATTAAGTTCGTCAGACAACATAGGGTTAACTTTGTATTCAGTCCGCCAGACAACATAGGGTTAACTTTGTATTCAGTTCCCCTTTAACTAGCCACAAGTTCCCCATTAACCAGCCACAAGTTCCCCACTAACCAGCCACAAGTTCCCCACTAACCAGCCACAAGTTCCCCACTAACCAGCCACAAGTTCCCCACTAAGCCACAAGTTCTCCACTAACCAGCCACAAGTTCTCCACTAACCAGCCACAAGTTCCCCACTAACCAGCCACAAGTTCCCCACTGACCAGCCACAAGTTCCCCACTAACCAGCCACAAGTTCTCCACTAACCAGCCACAAGTTCCCCACTAACCAGCCACAAGTTCCCCACTAACCAGCCACAAGTTCCCCACTAACCAGCCACAAGTTCCCCATTAAATTGTCGCCACTTGTTCCTCAGTTCCCGACACCTGTGGCGACTACTTTTTCCTGCCCATGTTCCCCGAGTGCCCGTTCCACTTCGAGGCGTCCCCCTGCTACAACAGCTCCCCCACCGTGGTGGTTACCTTGACGACGCCGTCTGGTGAGGTCGTTGAGCGCTTCATCACCAAACACGGGGAGGTGCAGGAGTTTGTGCTCAGCAGCCACAACAAGAACAGGCATCAAGGTGAGTACTGTACACACACGGGGAGGTGCAGGAGTTTGTGCTCAGCAGCCACAACAAGAACCGGCATCAAGGTGAGTACTGTACAGACACCGGCCTCGTTCTGACATCGCGACCAGACACTAGCCTCGTTCTCACATCTAGACAATACACAAGCCTCGTTCTTAAATCCAGACAAGACAACAGCATCGTTCTTGACCAGAAACTAGCTTCTTTCTCACATCACCAGACACCAGCCTCGCTCTGACAACTAGACTATAAACCGCCCAAAACCAGTCCCATCTTAAACGTTACAATAGAGTATCTTAAAATTATTCACTTCTTGTAAATTAAATCAAACTATAATTTTTTTTAAATATATTTCTCTGTCATTACACCGGATTTATTATACAGCCCTAACGCTAATTTGGCATCTAGGATAGATGATGATTTGAATGTCATTGACCTTTCATTAAATCTAGGAAAGATATAGCCCTAGTCCGGCATCAAGATCACACTTTATAAAATCCCTATCCTGGCATCGTAGATTCTATATTCCCACCCTGGCGGTAAGATCCTATTGGCTGTTCTTTTCTTTCATTATCTAGATCACATTCTTAAGTCTATGCTTTATCATGCCTTGGTGAGCCAAGAGAAAAACAGGATCAGGCAACTAAATAGAACATCTCCTAGCAATCTCATGCCAATCATCTTTGTTATTGTTGTTAGAGATCTGCTCCACAAGAAACTAGAACAACATTCCATTGTGATCTTGCCCCGCCTATAGTCGGCTCACTAATCGAATTCCCTTGTGTTTTCCCGGCCCTTTTGTCTTCTCTAATAAGATTTTCACCGAGAAATTTCACAAATACCGAAATAAACTGATTAGTTCAATACAAAATAAAACATCCCATTCTTTACAATCTGGAGATATTTCAATCCAATTATTTTTTTTTAAATATAAAAATTTGAAAATATTCCCTGTTTTTTGTAATCATGTTGCACTATATTTCGTCGGCCCAAAAAAAAAATGCAACTGAGATTTGTAGCAAAAAAAATTCGAATAGAATTTTAATAAAGCAAATTATTACCGACATGAGAAGGTAACCAATTTCTTTGATTAAAACATTGAATGCTATAATCTCCCTTAATGGAGGGATGGGGAAAACTCGCATATTGTGGGCTTTTACCGTCGATCATCATTATATCCATCACATAATCCACATAATCCACAAATGCATGTTAAAAATATCTTTCAACCCACCGCCATTCTGAATCGCTTAGACGGAGGATGCGAAATATCTCCATTCAGCGCGTTGCTTATGCGATTGAGGAAATTGCATTCGGTAAATTGAATATTCAAATGATTTTTATTTTGTAATGTTGTTATCTTTGTATGTCGTTAGGATGTAGGAGGGTGGGGGGGGGGGGGTAGTGTGGGCATCAGGCGGTAATCACGTGATAGGCATGCCATTTCAAGTTGACATCAACATATCGAATCAATTTCTTCATCTTCTGTAAGATATATTTGATTTGGAAACAATTAAGTCTTGTAAAGTAATCCATTTTTAACAGACGTGAGTATATAAAACAACACTATCGGAAATATAGAAATGAAAAATGAACTAAAAGTCTCTAATATATTTATAAAACCTGTTGCTGTCACAAGTAAATATAAGGAGAACTGTCTAGTTTTAGAACTACTACATCTAGACAAGACAGCAAGGCGGGACTGACAGAACAACTACAGTAGAACAAGACACACAGTGTCCAGATACTACAAAACTATGCCAGCATCAGCACACGGCTACAACAACCTAGGTGTAACACACCTGTAACAGAAAGGTTTACCCACCTGTCTAGTAGTAGCAGACAGCGACCGGATCAACAACAAATTAAGTGAGCAACGTCACCCAATGACGTCCCAACTCTTGAAGTGTTGCAACCAATGACGTCCCAACTCTTGAAGTGTTGCAACCAATGACGTCCCAACTTTTGGAGAGTGTTGCAACCAATGACGTCCCAACCTTTAACGAGTGTTGCAACCAATGACGTCCCAACTTTTTGAGTGTCGCAACCAATGACGTACCAACTTTTGGAGTGTCGCAACTAATGACGTCCCAACTTTTGGAGAGTGTCGCAACCAATAACGTTCCAACTTTTGAAGTGTCGCAACCAATGATGTCCCAACTTTTGGAGAGTGTTGCAACTAATGACGTCCCAACTTTTGGAGAGTGTCGCAACCAATTACTGCCATCTTTTGTTCTCTTTACAAGCCGCACTTGCCGCGTTAAAAAATAAATTTTTGTTTTCTTCCTCAAACAAAAGCCTAGCCGCTCCCCCTGCTCACCCATAATTCAATTATTCCAACCCCGATTGGCGTGGGCGGGAACTTCCGGTGTGGAATTATTCCTGTAAAAATCTACCCGGCTCTCCATGATTTCATGTCATCAAGCAACGTCCGTTCTATCAGCCAGATGGCGGGGGTGGGGGGGGGGGGGGGTTAGGGTTGGCGTTGTGGTCAAGAGAGACTGGTGTGGGTGGATGTTTGTGGAGGGCTAGGTTTGAAGTTATAGGGTACCAAAAAAAATCATTCTCTTGTGGTGGAGAGGTAGGTTTGAAGTTATAGGGTACCAAAAAATCCCGCTGTAAACAATTCTGGTTTTGTGGTGGAGGGGTAGGTTTGTGGTTATAGGGTACAAAAAAAAATTCTCCTCTTGTGGTGAAGGGGCTAGGTTTTGAAGTTATAGGGTACCAAAAAAAAACAACCCGCTGTAAACAATTCTGGAACTAATTGGTCACAAGTGTGTTCACATCGATCTGAACGCTGACGTCATCAGTACGCTGGAATTGTGCCAGATGTACGTGGTGTACACATACAAGACAACCTTCAGATGTACGTGGTGTACGTATATAAGAGAGCCTTCAGATGTACGGAGCGTACACATACAAGACAGACTCATGATGTACGTACACATATAAGGCAGCCTACAGATGTACGGGATGTACACTTACAAGACAGCCTCATGATTTACGTACAGATTCTAGACTACCCGTAATTAAGGAAAAAACAAGGCCATCATTTTGAGTGTCATTAATGTTTCGGGACCAAAAATATTTCAGAGCCATCAGTATTTCAGGGTCATCAATATTTCAGGGCCATCAATATTACAGGGCCATCAATATTTCTGGGCCATCAGTGTCGGACGCCAATTTATGTCTGACGGCCATCAGTGTTTGAGGGCCATGCAAAACAAAACAAGCTGTATGTGAACGACGGCACTGTTGATCATTGCCGCGAGCCTCTGACGTCACCAATACCTAGGCCAGAGCCCGTGATTGGTCCGAGGGCCACGCCAGGGGTCGATAACCAAATCCTCTTATTGAACTAATCCCATGAAGCGGACCTTTGTCTGGCCACAAATACCCCTTGTAACTCGGGTCAGCAGAATAAAAGATGAAACTGACTAATGTAATTGTCGCCCCTGTTGGCCGTGTAACACACGCAATCTGCGGTCATGTGACCGGACGTCAGCTGACCCCCCCCCCCATTAAGATGGAGGATAACCTCCCCACGTTGAATTAATTTAGACCGTATCAATCCATTAAGATGGAATCAATCATTTAATTTTACACTAATGGATTAAAATTACTTCCAGACGAAACTTGACATCCACATAAAAATGATATTTACTATCCTAATCAGTCGTGCTTTCAATCAATAGCCAATTACTGATTTTAATTAACCATCTCAAGCCTTAAGGAACAAGCTACTTGACGATTTTCTAGACGATTCTGTTGGCAGTTTGTGGTCTGAAAATGGCTGGATCACCAGCAAATAGCGGCGCCGATTAACTTAACTAGCTCCAAATTCCTCCTCTGTGGTTAGCCACCCCCCCCCTCCCCTTAAGACTTAGCAGGATTCCCGTGCCCTCTGGAGAAAACGTCTGAAGAAATGTCTGTCTTGAGGGTGTGGGGAGTAGGTTTGACCGGGGAGGGAAAGGTCACCGGTCGTGGGGTGGTGGGCATAACGCGACACTTGGACTGGCTAGAATGGCCCTTACGGTGCCCAGAAATAGCTTGCTGCCGACTCTCCACTGGGCACCCTGAAGGGAAATAGGGTTTTCGTCAAATAAAGATGTCGGTCTTTTTCCAAATGTGGATAAATTGTGGGGTTGTTTTTTTTTTTTTTTGTGGAATGAAAAAAAATATTGTTTTTGTAACGGAGAAAGTTAAAAAAAAAAACAACTCCTAAAAATAACATGTTTTAGTGGCATTTGGCATTGTTGTTGAGGTTATTATTGGGATGTCTAGTGTTGATAGTTTTCTGATGTCATGTCTAATGTTGAAAGTTGTTTTGATGGCAAATCGAGTATTGATAGTTTTCTGATGTCATGTCGAGTATAGATGTAGTTTCATAGTTTGCTGATCTCATGTCTAATGTTGTTATTTTTTTTATGTCATGTTTGGTCTTGATCAAGATGTTGGACTGAAGTAGTTTTTACTGAATTATTGTGAGACTTTCTTCATTCATGTCCCAACTTAACCCCAGCTATAAACACTTTTGCCATACAGCCCTTCACATTACCCCATCAAAAGAATCCCATCCCACCGACATCCCATCCCATCCGACCCCACCCAACCACCAGCATCCCACCCCGCCCGTTTGATCCCATCTCAGAGACCACCCTATGCTGCCACAATTACCTATCCCACCCCTTTTACCCCCCCCCCTCCCCCCACCACCCCACCCACCAGGCACAAATAATTTGTTTTCTTCCCCGGCCCTGACGTATTACGGCTGTTATTTACACCCCGTGGAGCGCCAGGCTATGACAATGACAGCTGTACACAGCTTGATTCGGTACACAGTTTGATCTTGTACACAACTTGATTCGGTACACAACTTGATTCGGTACACATCTTAATCTTGTACACAACTTAATTTTGTAACTTAATCTTGTACACAACTTAATCTTGTACACAACTTAATCTTGTACGCAGCCAGAGCTTGTACGCAGCCAGAGCTTGTACACAGTGGATGTCGTTAATGTACAAATAAAAAATAAACGTGTACTTCAATCGACCATCCCACTTTTTTTTTTAAACTAAGGGGAGGTCGTGTCTTTTGGATCACTCTGATTACATCATCATCTTGTATGTATCTTACAGCTTACATCTTGTATTTATATCACTGCTTACATCATGTATTCATACCACTGATTACATCTTGCATTTATCTTACAGCTTACGTCTTGTATTTACATCACTGCTTACATCATGTATTCATACCACCGATTACATCTTACATTTACCCCCAGCTTACATCCTGTATTTATATCACTGCTTACATCATGTATTCATACCACTGATTATATCTTGCATTTACCCCCCAGCTTACATCGTACGCAGCAACTATGACATCTCCGTGTACATCCACAAGGACATGGGCGACTCCCTCAACGTGTTCCCCATCGACACCTACGTCAGGGACTACGAGATCACACGCATGACGCCGCTGAATGCCGAGCTGCCGAAGGTCAGCTCTCGCGGCACGGAGACCTTCTCAGGCATCCTGTACATCTTCAGCCCGTTCAACAACACCAGCATCACGGTGACGCCGCTGTCCGACGACGCCAACACCACCACACCCACGTCCTCCTCCACCACCAACCTGTCGACGTCGTCAGCTTCCTTCTCCTCCACCACCATCTTGCTAGACGCCTTTGAAATCCACAGACATTTCATCGACACCAGGCGGCGCTACCGCCTCCACTCGCACGACGTGTTCGGGGTGGTCCTGCTCCAGGCGAGGGCGCCGTTCCTTCTCAACGACACCCTGTGTAGCGGCATCGGCGTCACCCTGCTGGACTTTGTGCCGCCGTACGCCGTGAGGGGCAGGTATTTCTACGTGGCTCTGCCCAATGTTACAGATTTCATGCTTCACATCCAAGGTGGGTGCTTGCCTGTCAGGTTTTGTCTCATACAAAGAAATGTAGCTAAAAATCATTTGTTTTGTAACGGTGGGATAATCCGCGTGCAAGCTTAGTGTGAGCAATTATTTTCCATGTAGCTTCGACGTAAATATAAGCGATGGGACTTGTGTGAATTTAATGTTTAAAACCTAACCCTTTAACCAAATAGTGTTCATATTTGCTAAAGGTAAAATTTTAGATAAACAGTTTTAGTAGTTTATAATATTGTAAAACTATCAAATTAAAACAAAAATTTTATTTTAAAAAATATATAGTATGTTTTAAAAAATAGCAGTTTTTTAATACAAATTCAGTTTCTGGCCACTAAACAGTAAATGTTTCTTGCTACAAAATATTGAGGTTTTTGTTAGCCAAACAATACTAATTTATTTTTGGCAACACACTTCCCTGAATTTTATTATAATTTTTGCGGCCACACAATATTCTAGCTTTCTGGCCAAATACCCTAGAGTATTGTTTTGGCCACACAATATTCTAGTTTCTGGCCAAATACTCTAGGGTTTTGTTGTGGCCAAACAGTATTTTATTTTCTGGCCAAATACTCTAAGGTTTTCTTTCGGCCACAGAATTCCACAAAGGCTTGATTACATACAGCACCGTTTAACATATACTATCAAGACCATCAAGTACACCTAAAAAAAGTTATCGATAATAAGATTTTTTTAAAAAAAAGTGATTTTGATAATCAGATGAAGTACATGCTTCTATTGGGGAATGTCCTTTCTCTAAAGTTCGTTGTCATTTACCGACTTTTTTTACCATAAATAATACCTACGGCAAATGATAAAAAAAGAATCTTTTTAAAAGGCGGTTTTACACCGTGATGGAGAAAGAAATACAGATTATTTTTGTAACTGGGACTTGTGAAATACAGGACAGAGTGCAGACAAACTGGTATCTGGTAAACACAGAGTGGAAACTTCTCTTGATTACAGAGAATATCTGCAGGTGAAGGTCACGGAGTTAGGGCTCCATAACACCAGAGGCTAAACACAAAAGTGGGCAGTAATTAATGTCTTCGCTCATCTCAAAGTCAATGTGGGGGTTTTTAACCTCTATTTTGTGTCCGTGAAAAAGATGAGAAATCCCCCCCCCCCCCCCCCCCCCCCACCTCCCTAGCACTGCTGGTATCTGTAAAGAACATTTCAGTGATTAAGTTTATGTAGTTACTGTGGGCCTAGTACTGTTGCTGATAAATTGTTTTAGACATGATGTTAGGATACTAGAACTCTTTAAAATAATTGAGCATCTTCTGTCGTTAGAATGTCTTGAAAGTAAACAATGTCGTTTGAACGCGTATGTCAGTCCAAAAACATGTTGTAAAATAGCATTATCATTAAAACAAAGACATGGGTTAATTAAGCTGATTTGGCCACATGCATGTTATTTTAATAAGTAGGTAATAATTACTTACTAGCTACATTATTGAAGGCCACTGATTGCGTACGCTGTGTCTTATATCGATTACTGTTATATCGATTAATTTTTGTCTACTTGGATATACCGATACCAAATGTTGTATTGTGTGAGCTAATACAAGTTTAACTCTCAACCACAGGTCAACCCAACACCACAATAGACGTGACAACGGATATGACGTCATCCGAACTGGTCTTGGACCAGCTCGGCACCAACATCAGCCTCGTGCCCCGCACGTCATCGGCCTGGCTGTCGGCGTCCTTGGCCGTCAGCGTCTACATCAAGGTCAAGGTCTGCAGCAACGACTCGGCCACGCGGGTCTGTGACGACAACGGCTTCTACCTGCCCAGCCTCGAGCACTACTTCACCTGCGAGGGGAACAAATCCAAGGACGGCTGCATCTGCACCTGCCCGTCTGTCTTTCAGCGGACCATCGACCCGGAGAGTTTCCACTTCTTCAGGAACGTCAGCGACTCCCTCCCCACCTCCACCTACCCGCTGACGGTGGGCGCACTCTTTGACGTCACGACCTCCATCTACCCCTCGATCGGTTCCGCCGGCTCGGATGACATCATCATCACCACCAACAACTCGTTCCTCGTGTTCCGTCTCGACCGAGTCAACACCAACTTCCTCCCTGCCGGAAGTACTTTAGCCAACAGCATCTGCGAGCCTAACTCCGCCAATATCCTTTTCCACAACTGCGACGGTATCGATACCGCGGACAGTTTCGCGGATTCGGCGAGACAGGAAACGTTGTATTCGACAGCGAACCCTAACGAGTGTTCGTGTGAGTTTGTTCAAGATTCGGTTTTTTTTACGACGGCGAATGAAAAAACCTCGGCAGTGTCCGGACAAGCAGCCACAAGCAACAACGTGGCCTATAGCAGCAGGGGTGGGGCCGTGGAGTACTGGGAAGATGAGGAGGAGGATAAAACCAAGCCGCTCATCGCTGTCGTCGTCTCGCTGTGTGTCGCCATCTTCGCCGCCATCGCTCTCATCACGGGCTACATGCTGGTGGAGGTCACGTCCAGGAGGAAACATGTCCGCAACACAAAGATTCGGCCCTTCGTCTCCTGACACAGGCAGAGGGAAGCAGAGGGGACATCTGCACGGGAGGACAAGTCAGAGTTGCCAGTTAAGATAGAGGACATTGAGGTGTAATGGGCCGTCCATTATAGGACATTGAGGTGTAATGGGCCGTCCATTATAGCTTGGTCACACTTACATAGAGGACATTGAGGTGTAATGGGCCGTCGATTATAGCTTGGTCACACTTACATAGAGGACATTGAGGTGTAATGGGCCGTCGATTATAGCTTGGTCACACTTACAAAGAGGACATTAAGGTGTAATGGACCATCCATCAACACACCCTTAACATGGTGCTAATCTGACGTTTAGTGCAAGTTCATAGACCAAAGTTCTAGACATCAACATTGTCTAGGTTTGTTGGAAGGCCGAACAGTGTGACGTAGTGTTGGCATGGCAACAGTATGACGTATGCAATCACATGACTCCCCCCTTTGTTTCCCGCGTGTACATTTTCTTGACCTTGTATTCATTGTGTTGTGTCCTTGACCCAAAGACACATTCCATGTTAGCTAATGTGTGATGTTACAAGTATACAGTTATACACATGTGTATTGTGTGAGCACTTCCCCAGAGCCAGAGTGGTTTAGCTCTACATACAAACATGTTCACAACACGGCTGTTGTTCTCCCAACATTTCTACACGACAGCAGCCGGTGCAACAGAATTATTGTGTAATAAGAGCGAAAGATATGGCTACGAATATTTTTTGCCATGATGCCTTGCTGGATTTATAACAGTGTATACATCTGGTACTGGGGAAGCGATATATAGGCATATATATATATATATATATATATATATATATATATATATATATATATATATATATATATATACAAAATGATGCATTCAATTACATGTAAGTGTATATTGTTATGAAGATGTATCCATATGAATCGCAAAATATTTATGAATGGCCTTTTATAGATCTTTAACCTTCTGACGACTCTGTATAAATGTAAATAACTAGGACACATTTAGAAAAATTTGAACCGAAAATTAAACTCATGAATAGAGTGACATTTGTGTATACATATTCTAAGTTGTAGGCCTACTTGAGATTGTACACATAAGTAAAAAAAAAAACTTTGAGAAAATTGTATCACTGTTTCATCACTGAGCCCACAACTCATCGCACCTGTTTGCAGTGTTGCACCTGATGTATCTGACTGGAATCAAAGAGCAAGACTGGAACATAAAGCTAGGGACGAGTGCAGCTGATAGATCAGACATACAAATGTGGCGTGTAAGTCCTAGTGGCTGCTACTGACCACTAGTGCAGCTGATAGATCAGACATACAAATGTGGAGTGTAAGTCCTAGTGGCTACTACTGACCACTAGTGTTGTACGATGGATGGGAGAAACTGTAGCTGGTGCACATCTGTTGTGGTAGTTTCTGTGCTAAGTGCTGTAGGTGGCTGCATGTATCTTGTTGACTGGATGGACCACATTCACACATAAAGACAGACTGACACAGCAACCACAGTTAGCAAACCAGGCCAGATACTGAAATACACAGGACACACAACATATACTGAAATACACAAGACACAACATACCCAAAGACACTAGACACAACAGACACTGAAACAGACACAGCAACAACAGACATCAGACAAGACCAGACAAATCCAGAAAGACTAACAAAGAATGACTAGCCTAGCCTGTATCTAAACTAGACAAAAATAATAATTCTATCACCAATGATCCTGGTTGGGATTCTATCACCAATTATCCAGCTTGTAATTAAAACTTTATTTCATTAAGCTCCCAATCATTGATCACTATGTTACCGCTAACACTGACTATATAAAGCCTTGAAAAACCATATCCAGTAGAGTAGTGGGATTCATGTGACAGTTTACATTTACATTTTTAACCCATTCATGCCTTTATCATTTGTAACAAATGTTTTTTTTTTTAAATCTAGATGAATTGTACATTAAAATTATCATTGGTGCAGGGGAGCTAACAAATTTATTTAGTTTTTCTTGTTGCTAAAGCACACAAATCTAGAGTTATATCCCTTAGTTAAATAAGAAACCATATTTTCCTGATAACCAGTTCAATTTTCACATGCCAAGTGAAGTTCTGAAAGACCTACTCGTGAATGATCGAATAAAAATATTGATCAGTTATGCGTGGATAGCTGGTGTGTGTGTGGATAAATGACCAGCTGTATCACAGTGATCATTTTCTACCATCTTTACCACAGTTTATATGTAAAAAGCAGCATGAATAAAAGTAATGATAAAGGTGAGGATCACAGGTGGCAGGTAATATAAAACCTGACAGAATCTGAGGCGGATAATACATGTTTGATTTACATTTGGGCGAGCTGAAGTTTACATTTGGGTGAGCTGAAGTTTACATTTGGGTGAGCTGAAGTTTACATTAGGGTGAGGTCTATTGAGGCATGTTAGATTTACATTAGGGTGAGGTCTATTGAGGCATGTTTGATTTACATTAGCGTGAGCTGAGGTCTATTGAGGCATGCTTAATTTACATTAGGGTGAGGTCTATTGAGGCATGTTCGATTTACATTAGGGTGAGGTCTATTGAGGCATGTTTGATTTACATTTGGGTGAGGTCTATTGAGGCATGTTTGATTTACATTAGGGTGAGCTGAGGTCTATTGAGGCATGTTTGATTTACATTAGGGTGAGGTCTATTGAGGCATGTTTGATTTACATTTGGGTGAGGTCTATTGAGGCATGTTTGATTTACATTAGGGTGAGGTCTATTGAGGCATGTTTGATTTACATTAGGGTGAGGTCTATTGAGGCATGTTTGATTTACATTAGGGTGAGGTCTATTGAGGCATGTTTGATTTACATTAGGGTGAGGTCTATTGAGGCATGTTTGATTTACATTTGGGTGAGGTCTATTGAGGCATGTTTGATTTACATTAGGGTGAGGTCTATTGAGGCATGTTTGATTTACATTAGGGTGAGGTCTATTGAGGCATGTTTGATTTACATTAGGGTGAGGTCTATTGAGGCATGTTTGATTTACATTTGGGTGAGGTCTATTGAGGCATGTTTGATTTACATTAGGGTGAGGTCTATTCAGGCATGTTTGATTTACATTAGGGTGAGGTCTATTGAGGCATGTTTGATTTACCAAATAAATCTAAACAAAGGTAGCTGTAGATATAGATTGTCCCTAGTTGATAGATGTATCCATAGTATGGGCTTAATCACTACAAGATAATGATATAGTTATAATTTAACAATAAAATATGGCATAAAATGAGGTGAAACTAGTTTTCAAGAGACTCCACAATTACATCTTTTAAATGCCACATAGACATATACTTTTTCCTTGTGTTATACTGTCAAAGTTTTTGAAACTATTTAAATAATTTCCTAACAAAGATGCAAATTTTGTTAAAAACTAGACAACTTTCACAATGATAAAAGTAATTAATTATTATTGAAATTCACCTGCATAATTTGTTTCTCTTTCATGGTTCTTGTTTTTTGTACTTTTTCCTATTTCTAGTAAAAAAATTATATTTGAATTACGTCCCTTTCATTGCCCATGTTTTCTCAGTAATGAAATGACATTAATAAATTACCCATGTTTGATCAGAGTTATCTATTCTTGGTTGAATGAAATAATTGATGCAGTTTTATAAAACATCTCAAATATACTTAGCTCAAGAGGAAAGTTTCTGGCATGAATTTCCTAAATTAAAAAATTATTATTAAACACATATTAAAACTTTAGTTTACAACGCAATCTCACTCAAACTAAACATTAGCATTCTTGTGAACATCCTATTTTTTTATACATATGAATCTGCTTTAAAGTTTACAGCGCACCCCACACCAAACTATACATAGAAATACATAGCCAACAGAAAAATATGAAGAGATTGTTTTTTTTTTGGTACAGCAACCATCAAAATTGGGTGAACACATGGATTTTTCTAAGGGCTACAGCCCACAAACTGTAAGAAATGTTCAGGTTAGCAGGCGCACTCTCTACCTCCCAGCAACAACATTAAAGCTGTGTCTTTAGATATTTAAGTTGTCATATCTTTTTTGTTTCAAACTACACCAAAATTTTAAACCTAAGTGTCACTGTGTGGCCCTACTTATTTTGAGCACAAAATAGAAATACATTTCAGATTATTTAATTAAATAAATAATAGTTTACATTTCAGATTATTTAATTAAATAAATCATAGTTTACATTTCAGGTTATTTAATGAAATAAAATAAATAGTTTACATTTCAGATTATTTGATTAAATAAAATAATAGTTTACATTTCAGATTATTTAATTAAATAAAATAATAGTTTACATTTCAGATTATTTAATTAAATATAATAATAGTTTACATTTCAGATTATATAATTAAATAAAATAATAGTTTACATTTCAGATTATTTGATTAAATAAAATAATAGTTTACATTTCAGATTATTTAATTAAATAAAATAATAGTTTACATTTCAGATTATTTAATCAAATATAATAATAGTTTACATTTCTGATTATTTATTTAAATAAATCAGTTTATATTTCAGATTATTTAATTAAATAAATAATAGTTTACATTACAGATTATTTAATTAAATAAATAATAGTTCACATTTCAGATTATTTAATGAAATAAAATAATAGTTTACATTTCAGATTATTTAATTAAATAAATCATAGTTTACATTTCAGGTTATTTAATGAAATAAAATAATAGTTTACATTTCAGATTATTTGATTAAATAAAATAATAGTTTACATTTCAGATTATTTAATTAAATAAAATAATAGTTTACATTTCAGATTATTTAATTAAATATAATAATAGTTTACATTTCAGATTATATAATTAAATAAATAATAGTTCACATTTCAGATTATTTAATTAAATTAACCATACTTTACATAATTTAGTGTCTGGCTAAATAAATAATTAATGTTTAATTATTAATAAATTAGCGCTGAATATTAAATTATTAATCAAGCTGACTATCCAACTGACACAAATATTGATAGACACTTGGTGGAAATAGGTAACCAATCAAATGTATGGTTTCTTTCTGACTGGTCGCGATTAAGGTTCTGATATAATAGGTACAAATATATAAAGATAAGGATTAAAATGTTTGACTATACACAAGGGGGATATCTGCGGTAGGCTGCTAGCTGATGCTAGATGCAGAACCAGGATTTTGAAAACTTAACTATTTGATTTACTCTAACAATTTTTTTTTTATTTTAAAAAATTAATTCAAAAGCTATTAATAAAACTTTTCTAAAATGATTATCTTTTTGCAAATTTTGCAATTTTACTTTACTTGTAACTGGGAGAAGTTATATTAAAAAAACAAAAAAATATCACAGTAGGCTAGTGTATATTGTTTATCCAATAGCTCTAATAAATATTTTTTACAATGTGAACAAGAGGCTTAATTACCTATCTTTATTATCTTTATTATGTACATATAAATCTAATAATAAGCATGTGTAAATTGTTAAAAAAATAAAACACTACAGACTTATGGCATATTGTTATAAAAAAAAGAATTTATTTATTTATTTTGTTGAATTGGCCTAGATGTTAATTAATTTGTTATTCAGCTAACTATTACATTTTTTTTAAAATCCTGATATGCTGAAAATATTCTCTTATTCAATCCTGTCTACTTTGTGGGAAGCTACTGACAAACAAAGATATACATTAATTCTTGGGTCATGAATAACTTGTTACATTTCTGATAGAGGGAGGTAATTCGAAGTAAAAA